GGTCTCTAATAGACTGAAGGGCTTCAACAACTGCATTGCCATTTGGCTCAAATATTAATCTATTTCGCTCAACTACAATTTGCACATCAGTCTCATTGTATTTGGATTCATAAGTTTGATTTTGACCTAACAGACTGTTTTCTTCTGTCCACGGATAATATAAAAATAGCAAGTGATGAAAATATCTCTCTGGCTCTTTTTGTTGGTTTGGTGTATGGTATCGAATAACAGACTTGACATTTCTGCGTTTCATTTTCTCCTTATTTGATAATGTTATTTGCTTGGGGAGTATGACGTCATTTTCAGCTTCTATCAAAACTGCATCATCAGTGAGAATAATCGGTTGTGCATCGGCTGTTTCACAAATATCATTTCTACTTTCTTTATAATAAAATGAAGCAAACTCTGCTAAACAAAGACTGGCTATTTGTGGATTTGAGGTGGGTCTTAAGCTGTATCGATTAATGATATTAGATTTAAAAATGTCTGTACTATCATCTGGTAAAAGATCAAGCTCCTGTTTAGTTTTAGCTATTCTAATTCTCTTTTCAGGGAGATCCGTTGAGATAAAAATTGATGCAGGCGAGGTTTTTCTGAGCCACAACTCTGGCATACACCTATAAGCACATTCTTGAGAACTGACTTCCCTAGTAGACAAAAGTGCTGCTCCAACCTTTCTTAAGGTATCTCTAGTATCAGAATTCAAGTCTTTAGCTTCTTTAGCTGCATTCACTATTGCCTGTGAGCACTCTGTTTCATCTTTTGTGAAATAGGAGCACACATAAGTCACACATTTATAGTGATTGAAAACAGGTTGTAGGTCAACATTGGCTTGGAAACCTTTTAATCCGGCAACAAAATAGTTGTTAATAAAACAGCTGTTTATAGGACGTTTCAAGTGCAATCCAAAATCAGAGTCTGGTGAAACTGAAAGAGCTGCATAATAGTCATTTTCAGTTATGTTCAAGTTTGATAAAATGTCATTTTCTGTTAAATTAGGATTGTAGTCATCCGTACTAGGATTCAATAATTTATCTATGCATTCTTTTACACGTGAAAGAATTTCTGATCTTTTATGAAGAATTCTACTTTTTGTTTCATCATCTATGCTTTCAGGTAATGGTTCTGAGATTATAGTCTTGTTGGTAAAAAATTGACCAAAACTAAATCGGCACGCAACATTCTTATACTTTCTGCACGTCTTAGAGTGAGAATGCTTCTGATAAGAATAGACAAGATCATGCAACTCTTTGTCTAATCCTTGGTCAGGAAGAAATGCCTGAACATGGCTGTCAATATAGTCAACATAGTCTTTTTTGGTATCTGCTGTAAGTTTAGGACAGTCTGAYGTCCAGATCAGAGCATGTAAATGTGGCGATCCTCTCATTTGAAACTCTATACGGAGTGCATAATAGGTGATTTTRCCGATTGGATTACATGAGCTTAAAAGAATTTCTTTAAAAAAATTCTCTACTCTATACTGAAAGTGCTTTGCAACAATAACTGGATTATGGTTAAGAAGTGAACATCGCTCATTGTATGATAAATTCTCAATTTCAGATTTGCTTAGATTCATTCCTTTAAGTTTTGCTATGATCTCAAAAAGTTCATTCCACCTCAAATCAGCGCATRACAATGTCATAAACCAGGTGGGAATACCAAGCTGTTTTATCATTGCAAGTACATCATACATAAAAGTTTGCCAATATGGAGGAGTACCAGGAATTTGGCGAAGGAAGAGATAAGCTTGGTCTTGATACATAAGACTTTCTAGATGCTCAGGACCTGATTTTAAATTTGATGCAGTAATTGATTGTCCTTGAAGTTTTGTTAGTGCAATATTAATGCTGTCCGATACCTTTTTCTGCTCAGTGATAAATTGGGCAAAAAATAAATATTCCGAGTTTGAAGCAAATTTTCCACTGTAATGTAAAAGACGAGCATTAAAATATTTGAGAGGTGAAAGCTTTACTTCTCGTTCTACTTTATAACCAAACCTTCCTTTTGGAAACAACACTGGAAATGCTAATTCCTCACATTGACTGTCAAGCATGCATGAAATGGGATTTTTATTTTCTCCAGGTGCAATGTCAAAAATTTCATTCCCTAATGATTCATTACGTCCTTGTGATTGTCCACGGTAGTCTGGAATGTTTGATTGCAAACAGGTTTCATTAGTTGGTGCTCTCAATTCAAGCAAAGCGTCATCAGCTTCTTCAGTATTATTCTCATTAGAAGTTTGCAAGTTTTCACAGTTCGACTGGTTCAACACTGGTTCACTTGGACTATGGTTAATATCATTATTGAGGGATGTAACATTGCTATGAATATTTCTCAAATTAATTTCAACATTACTGTACAATGCATTGTTATTTTTTAACCACAAAAGTGCGTTAAAAATGACATTTGGTCTAACAGGTTGAAAGTGTACATGTCCTCTATACTGCATTTTTCTTTTAAGCTTTACTAAAATAATTCCAGACATTGTGGGAGGTCGAGGCAAAACATTTGAAGTTTGAACACATTCTACAGGTACATTGCAAATTGCTCCTTTTATTTTACGCTGTTGACCTTTGGCCATCACAACAATTTTTTGAAAAACGATTCCCTGTGCTATAAGAAATTGTTCAAGTTTTTCAAGGCATAAAAGATCAGGAGGAGTATCATCTACAGCTAGTTTATTATAAACAGCTTGGCAAGGGATCTTTTTCTTATATATCTTTTTTTGGCATGTTTTGCAGATATATTCCTTGTTATCATATGATTTTTTTCCTGTAAACAAATGCTTCAATTCAAAATTCAATGTCCATAAAATAAGAACAGAATGTTTATAGAGCATTCTATGACATACTGTACAGATATAAAATGGGCCTTCCGTTATTTTATCATGGAATCTTTTTATGCACAAATCTAATGATTGACAATCAGCCTCTAAACGAGCACGTTTGCACTTAGGTTGAGATTCTGACTGGGTTGTAGTTGATTTCCTTTTTGTGTATTTAGATAGCACGTTTCTTCTTTCTACTTTTGTCAAATTATTTGCTACACATGAAATAAAATAAACCTTGTAGGGCACACCGGATTGAGAAGTACTTACATTCAGAGAGTCATAAATTATTCTTATAAGTTCATCTATTTCATTTGTTTGAACAACATTTATTTCATCATTGTCATTGCAGAGAGAACAAGAAAATATTGAATTTTATTTTGTTTTCTAACATTTCTTTAACATGATGAATGATACATGTTAAATAGCAAAAAGACGTGGATAAAATAAATCCAGTATTTTGAATATGATCAGCTATAAGATTTTTAAATGATGTGTTATCTGAATGAACAGAAAATAGTCCTTTATCCACAAAAGGATATTGTATGTGGATATTAGCATTACAAATTTCAATTTCTTGAATTGTTTGAGTCAGGTAAATTGTCTAAATGACTTAACTCGTTTTGTACAAATTCCTGTGCACTGACTAAAATACTATTTAGTGTTAGCGATTTGACTTCCAGAATGTACAAGGCTTAAAAATTGAATAGCACAGAGCATGATAGCTTATAGCAAAACTCAATTTCATTTTTTATTGTAGCATAAATAAGGAGGCAGATGCTTCTTGATAAACACGTTCATTGTTTATTGTGTTGTTAATGGTACAATTAGAATTACATGTAGAAGCTATGTTTATTTTTAAACCTTTCAATTCATAAATTGCATCCACTCCTGACACAGTCTGAAAATACTCTACTAAGTTGTTTATACCATTCACCTCTAGCAATACACAAGTTCCTTGATAGTGTGCTAAACCTCGAGTGTCTCTTGCATGAGAATCAAATATTTTGAATATTTTTGGGCTGNTCTAAGATCTTTAAAATGATTATAAAGTCAAGATAACTTGGCGTAGTTTTAAAATCTACAAGGATATAAAACACTAATAATGGAAAAAAACTCTTCTCAGGTAAGCTTAACTACATGTACACTAGATATATCCAGTAGACCCACGAAGCTTCCGAAAAAAATTCAAAGATAATATGTCAATAAACAGTTAGTTTTAATAAGCTTATGGAGCTTACTGTAAGCAATAGATTCCAAAGTTTATTTGATTTCAAGTCAAGATGTGGAATATTTTATATTGCGTCACAACTAAAACAAGTCAAAAAACGGCTAAAAAACTTTCTTATCTTACAAAAACCTAACACGGATGGAGATAGCAGTAATAAGTACAAAGATAAAGGCAGAAGTTTCCCCTCAGTGTATTCGACGAAGCTTAACTACATGTACACTAGATATCCAAAAGACCCACGAAGCTTCCGAAAAAAATTCAAAGATAATAAACTTATGTCAATAAACAGTTAGTTTTAATAAGCTTATGGAGCAATAGATCAATAGATCAGGCTTTTAAATTCCAAAGTTCAATTGATTTCAAGTCAAGATACAGTTTCACAAAGTGGAATATTTTATGACTTTTATACTGCGTCACAACTGAAACAAGCCAAAAAACGGCTAAAAAACGTTTCTTATCTTACAAAAATCTAACACGGATGGAGATAGCAGTAATAAGTACAAAGATAAAGGCAAGAGTGAGCTATTAAGCAGCTGTAGGAAGAAATAGCGCCCTTACCTTGAATAAAGTTTCCCCTCAGTATACGGCTATGTACCGTATTCGACGAAATGGCGCAAAACCAAACCAGGCAGAAGGTTTAATTCCATGTGCTTTTGACGACCGACTTCCGAAATATGCACGAAGGCGTCGTGGGAAAGCTAATTAGTTTTCGGGCTATTGTATGAAGACTCAAATATGCAAATGTTCCAAACACGAGGGACTATCGACTGATTGTTCTTGTTTCCCGTTGGATATTGCTTGTCTCCGAGAGCCTTCCGGCCCGTTTGTGGTAATCCGAAGTGCGTTTGCAATTTAAAGCTCTAGGCCCTTCGGGCCAGAGCAACAAATCAGGCTATTTTGTACATTTAATTATTTGATTTTTATTTTTCTAAACTTTTTAAGGTATGCTTACCTGGCTTACATATTAGCATTGGGATCTTTGAACGATTATACGAGCTTCTTACTGCAGCATTTCGCGCATTTGACAAAGACATGGCAAACTTTCTGGCAAACAGAGAAAGCAATAAGGTTTGTTAGACCATGAATTGTAATATCGGGTAAAATATACCCCATAATTGTTTTTACACTCTTATTCCTTTGTTTTCTATTGTTTAAAAATGGCTATTAGAGTTCAAACACTAAAACTGTGCAACATAAATACCATTAAATACTGCTTAATTATGCTAATTCTATTTTCTTTTCTATTGTTTAATGAACACTATTTTGTAGTAAATAGTGGAACGTGTTGCACACATTTAATGTTTGTACTCTACTTTAATTACTGTACTAGCTAAATGAAAACCACTCTACATTGCTGCACTCTCTTTTTCATTGCTGTTAAAAAGACAATTTACAAGCAAAAATAAAGTTGAACACCAAATCTACTTCAATTCTTTCAGAATGAACAGTTACAGAAGTCTTCACTTTTAAAACAAGGAGAGGGGCCTTGCATTGTCAAATTGAATGAGACTTTGAATAAGCTTGGAGTACAACGGCAAGCATATCATGGGGGCTCTTTCAATGGTAATCATACAAACAAGTGCCTTTTGGTAAGGATAAGTCTCATGTTTTATTAGGTCATTGCTTGATAAAATAATTGAATGGATTCAATTACCAGTTTTTT